TAATTATAATATATTAATAATGTTAAATATTATTTCTGTCAGGCAGACTTGCAAGTGCTTGAACATCTGTGATTAATGGAGTGCTGTTAACCCACAAAAGAACTCCCTAGTGTTGTAGTGCTGGATTATATACCTTTTCATATCTTATTTGACATTATTATTAGAAATTTAAGACACAGAAAGCAGGTTTCTCAAGTGTATCAGTGAAAGAAGGCTGGGAAGGGAGTGCTTTGTTAGAAGATAGGAAGACGGCTTACAATTTACAAACTGAAAGTATGGGTGAAAAAGTACAGTGCAAAGGAGATGTGACTCAATGGTAGCGAATGGAGAAGCTAACACTGACTATAATTTCAGTATAAGCCAGTTTTGTTTTTTTTTTTTTCCTTTGGAGATGACAGTCTTGCTCTGTCACTCAGGTTGGAGTGCAGTGGCATGATCTCGGTTCACTGCAAGCTCCGCCTCCCGGGTTTATGCCATTCTCCTGCCTCAGCCTCCAGAGTAGCTGGGACTACAGGCGCCCGCCACCACGCCTGGCTAATTTTTTTTTGTATTTTTAGTAAAGATGGGGTTTCACCGTGTTAGCCAGGATGGTCTCGATCTCCTGACCTCGTGATCCGCCCACCTCAGCCTCCCAAAGTGCTGGCAATTTTTTTTTTTTTAATATAAATCTACTAAAAGAACAAGTTGGACTATAAGCTGTGAAAAATCACACTGCTAAGAGAGGAAGAGAGGTTTTTGAGACACACTGCTCAGCCCTAAAAGACCACAGCTGGAAACCAGGTCAGGAGAAGAAAATCAAGGGAAATGATGGATGAGGAAAGGAAGAGATGGCAGAACGTGCTGTCTTCAGATAACTGGGGAGCTGAAATGTAGAAGGGAGATTTTTTTTCCTCTGGTACCCCCAGAGCACAGAACATTGTAAACTGTGGCTTCAAAATAAGTAACTTTCTAACACCTTCAACCATTACCAATTGGAATGAGTTAATTTAGTAGGTGATACATTCCCCTTTGCTGGGAAGTCCTTCGGTTGATAAGGAACAGCTATCTTGCAGAGATTTGGAAGGGAGTCTTGTCTTTAAGTAGAAAGCGGAATGAGGTGATTTTTAAGACCCCCTATGTTTCGATTTGGGTTCCCTTAAAAGCAAAGCATGAGACAAGGGTTGGACGCAGGATGCAGGAAGTCTGTCAGGGAGGTGACATCAGGAAGTGGGCAAGTGGGAGGAGCAAAACAGGGGCGCAAGAGCCAATGAATTATACTAAGTTACGACTGTGTGTAACGAGGCTCACTCCTGCTAGAAACCCTCTGAAGAACCATGTAGCATGCATTCCAGAATGATTCTTGAAAGAAAGAAGACTGGGATAGTTATCCATCAACTCCAAAACCTCCTTGTTTACCAGCCATTCACTCCCCAGCACTTCCCAGACCACAGCCAGCTGGCTAGGGAAAGCTCTTCCGCCTTCTTTTCCTGACATGGTTTCCAGCTGTGGTCTCAAGTGTGCATCACAACAGCCAAGTGCTGGAGGTGCTGGAGGTGAGAGCTGCTAGCATATGCGGGGCTGCTGCTGAAACACAGGAGGCCATGGGGGCGGGGGGAAATGTGCGGCCATGCCTTCGAAGTCCCAGTTTTTCTGGTTTAAAAAATGCAAGATCCTACAGCACTCCTTGCTCACCACTATAGCTCAGGTTCTAGCAGAGGTTACTGGGGGCGTCCCCAAAATTGAGACCTCAGTGTTGTGACACAGGGAAATGATTTCATGTCATATATTATGTTAAAGGGTTGACAAGAAATAAAAATCATAACACATAAACCAACCTTATGATCCCATAAACAACCAACCTCCCGAAGAACAGAGCAAACCAAAGCACCCTGTCTACCTTGCAATACAAATTTGCTTACCTCCCATTTTTGATCCCTTCTCGGTCATACATTTTGCACATTCTAACATCTATAAAATGGATGTCATAATTTAATTGGCAGTGTTATTTTTCTTAGTGGTATATAAAACAATGATGCTTCTTACTAACTATGGTGTTTTAGATTTGATGGAATACGTTATTCCTGATATTCTCAACTTAAACTGATATTCAATTCATTTGCTGGCCAATTGAAGATCAAAACAATTCGTATCATCAAAGTTTAGAAAAGCCTCAATTTTAACATTTTTTTCCAGAGGAAAAAAACTGAAATGTAAAGAAATTACAATGACTACTGATTAAATGTAATAAAACTGCCCCCTCAAAGAGAGAGGCCTAGAGAATTGCTGTTATTTAAAATGACTGATGATTAATAAGAAGACACATACTCAATGAAGAGGATAATCAGCAAGATTCACCGATGGCTTCCTAAGATATTAGTTAAATTTTACCAAAGGCAATATTCATTTTAGATTTCCTGAGAGAAGTCATTCCTCATGGACAGTTTTTAAAGATAGCTAACTTTCTAACAAAGAGTGCTAGAGAATGAGAGTGTAATTAAAGCATTTGCTTGTTCTTATCACCTGAATTCCCTTCCACTCCTTGCGGAATAATAACTCTTACAATTAGACAGACATTGTTAGATGCATATCCTGCAGGGTGTCTCCTCAGGCATTTGGCACACAAAGCATTCACTAGATTAGTTTAGGAAGGAGATATACCATCCTGGGCAGGAAGAGACCCAAGAGGTGACAGACAATGAAAATAATACCCTGGGCAGATGGAAAGCTTACAGATATTCCAAGAAACCTGAGGCTGGTGAAGGAATATCCTTATACAAAGTAATTCTTCTATAAGTGCTTTCTAAAAGTTAGATCTAAGTAGCTATTTACTCTAAGTAGAAGCATATACTAGCATTTTAAAGCTCAAAGACAGAAAAAAACATGAAGTGTTTATTGAAACAGACAGAGGTGAATATCCCCAAGCTGCCAATAACCCTTAGGTGGAATTAAGAGATCATCATTTTTTTATTAATGGGAACTTAATTTTAGACTATGCCTTTCTAGTCATCTCCTTCAATATCTAAGTCTATCAGTAGGTATATCTATATCAATGTTATACAAAGCAAAGCTGAAGCTAGGGATATAAAACGACTTCAATGAAAATACACAGTCCTAGGTGGAAAAAATCCTGGTTGAAGCTTTAAAAATTATAGAAAAGTTGATAAGCCTGATTTATAGGTATCAACTGAACATTTTTTACTATGACATTTATCTATAAGAAACATGCAAATTAAAACATCACCTCTACAGCTTCCCAGGCCCATTTCCTGTACTTTGGATCATGAGTCAGTCTCCACATATACATGTAAGTCTCCATAACTTCTGGCCGTAAGATGTAGTATTTTTCATTTTGTCTTGTAGCAATGGCTTCAACACCACCATCAAATCTGAAAGCTTCTGGTCCCAGTTTCATAACTAAAGGACATGGAATGAATGAATAAGGGTTATTGTTCTGGACAGTGCTTACAGTCAATAAGTGAAATGAAACTAGACAGTACAGTCATCCCTCAGTATCTGTGGGGGATTGGTTCCAGGACCCTCCGAGGATAACAAAATCCATGGCTCCTTGAGTCCCTTATATAAAATGGCAAAGTATTTGCATACAACCTAGGTACATCCTCCCATATACTTTAAATCATCTGCAGTTTACTTATAATACTTAATACAGTGTAAATGTTATGTAACTAGGTGTTATACTGTATTGTTTAGGGAATAGTGAAAAGAAAAATAAAATTCTATAAATGTTCAGTACAGAGAGAACCATCCATGTTTTTGGGAACATTTCTGATCTGCGGTTGTGGAACCCAGGGATACGAAGGTCTGACTGTACTTTAACAACACTGAAGAGAGATGTCAAAGTGGTCAGTTTTAAAAAAGAGTTATAAACATCATGTAATACATAAAACTCATATACTTAGAACATTTAGTCATCTAAAAGAGTCCATTTTAGAAAACAGTAACAATTTTTTTTTTTTCATTTAACCCCCATTTACTGAGCACCCACCAGGCAAGTACAAGACACCGTGGAATACCATTTGAGTTAGCCAGAAATTTAGTGGTTGACAATCCTAAGTAATTTTGCTACAAAAGGCCAGTTATTTGTACTTTGTGTTGCAAATTCCTATTTTATAAGAAGGGAGTGGGATTCATGATCTATTTCATGGGGGATGTGGAGAAGATTAACAATGGATAATACAATGCTAAGTTTCTCTTTGCAGGGAGATAGAGACCCTTGTCCAGTGTTATTAGCAGAAGCAGAAGTCAGTAAATTAGGCTGGCTTTAACTCTTTAGGGCCTGGATTTTTGTTTCTTGGCAAACTAAAGATAGATATTTTCAGGTCGAAAATCATTGCCTTTTAAAATAAAAATATACATTCCTTTATGACATTAATCACGATCATCAAGTTTCATAGGCAGAGTGGACAGTCTTTTGATGGCTGCAATGACAAAACTGCATGAAATCAAAGCATGTGGGAATAGACTGTAAGTGAAGAATAACATGTACTCACATGTTCGATTATATGATTCATGACAGGTACGGGCAATTTCAGCCCCGAGTTCAAGGTAGTGTTGGGCCATGCCTTCGGGAGCTCCATCAGCCCCGAGTGCGAACATGCCTCCTGCAAAGCAGGTCAGGTGGCCCATCTTGTGCTCCAAGAGGCCCCCTTTCCACTCCGCGATGTAAGTTAGTCCGCTGCTAGACTTGCGGATCAAATGAGTCTCAATGGCCTGTAAAAAACACTTTTTTACTATTTTGTAATCTCTTCTCAAATTTATACTAAAAATATGCCCAACATTAATAAAAAAGAGAATAAAACACAACTCCCAATCAGAGTTTGGTGTTACAAATCCATTCAACCTGAAATTACACGCTATTGCTTTCTGTATTCCTCCGCTAGCTTAGGCCTTATTAGTTTGGTTAGTCAGAATTAACACTGCTGCGCCAGCACAGTTGGTTTTGCTTGGTTCCGCGACCAAACACTTGTATTTCTCACACTCAAAAAACTTTCCCCTTCTCAAAGACAGGCCACTGTGCAGCGGTAATAGTTGTTTTGGTACATTTTCATTTCCACAGGTGGTGAAATAACACAAAGCCCAGGCCCTAAGGTGGATGAAGAACACAGCATATTTGTGCATGAGATCCAGGACGGTGGCAAAACTCTTCCTTTCAATTCTGTAGGCCTGGAGTGATCACAAAATAGAGTGACAAAGAGGAGGTGTTCTGTGGCCAGAAGACTTGGCTTCAAATTCCAGCTCTGACACTCTCTCTAATTTGTGGAAGTGAACAATTTGCTTACTATATCCCTAAATCTCAGCATCCTAATCCATAAATGGGAACGACCGGATCTCCTGATAGGACTCTGCCACATTTTGTTTATAAAGCAGTCACTAATGCAAGTGGCACGTGATAAAAGTCATTTATAAACATTTACATCTCCAATGTGGTGACACTTGAATCAAGTTCCTCTCTAATACTTCTATTAAAAAGCACACTATTATATAATGAATAAATATATATATTTTAAAAATCGGAATAAAAATCTTTAAATTTGGGAGAAATGATAATGTTTACAAAAATGATTTATAAAACATCTTTTATTTCTATCCCAGGTCTGTTGATATTCTCTTAAACTAGACAGACAAATAAAATATGCCTTATATTTTAAAAAGCAAAAATAATCTCCAATTCCTCTAATAGAAAATGCTCTCCCTGCTGCCCCACAATTACTTCATGGAAGGAAAAAGGCCATGACTGTGTCTATACCTGTACACTGCTATGAAGAGACAGGAATTTGTTAGGAAGCACATTTGGGAACAGACACAGAAAAAAACTTGTGATAGAGAAGAATGAATGAAAATGAATACACAGGAAGCTAAAACCTTTCCTACCTTTATTAGAAATAAACGAATGAAACCAAGATGGTAAGAAATAAATGAACATATTACTGTGCTCATTAACTGTGGTTAAGCTAATGTTATTGATGGTTTAGTTATTACATTAATATTTCATTCTTATTTTATGCAACTGAAGATCTTAGCTATTTATACTTCTCATAACAAAAATTGCAATAAAGTCCTTCAAGCAGATACTTGTTCATAATCCAAGAAATTATTCTTTCTACATGGCAAGAGTAATAGCTTTTGAGCATGAATTAGAGAAACATTATTACCCTGTTATGGATCCTAAATAAAGTACGATATTATTTCTGGCATGATTTGGACCAAGTTGCTACCTCTTAATAAAAGCTACAAGGAAATTCCAAGACCTTCAAAGCAGTAATTTTGTGTGGCCATGGGAAAACGCAAATAAATACAAAGAAGGATAGTTTTTAGTAGATCTACTGTGTCAAGGCTACAGATAATTGATTAGAAAAAAGGGTACTATATATTTTGTGATTTAATCCTTCTATAATTGCTTTAAAAAATTGGTTTGATGAAGGCTTCAGAATCGTAAGTGTCTGATAAGTCATCTGCCCAGGTATCATTTACCATTGTGAGTTCCTAGTGTAATCTCCAGATAGGGCCATGATAGCCAGTTGAAAGCTCAAAATATTTTGTTACTAAAATAATCAAATAAAACATACCACTCTGGGATTAAATGCTTCCCAAAATCTACTTGAAGCTACAACAGAGTAACCGTATCTTCAGTAATCAACTGTCCAGAACAATAGCGTGCAGCATCCTCCCCTTGGTTACAATAATCTTCTAAAGTACAACTTAACAGAAAGAAACTTTGCTGTATAAGACGCTGCTACTTCTCAAAACAGAAATTTAGTTGTTCTAGCTTTGCTTTCTAAGTTGAAAATATACAATGCAATGAATATTAGCTTTTACTACGAAGAGAAGCAGGAAGCACTTTGACTTCATTTGTTCTTAATGGATTTTCCTGTCAATGATTTGTCTGATTACAATATACTAAAGGTTGTGTAGGTATGGTTTTAGGAACTAGGAAGAAAATATTTCAAATAATATTTTAAAGTTGTCTTTTTTTGAACATCAAGATCTCAGAGGGCCAATTTAGGATTAGAATAATTAAAATGTCTGCCAGTATGGTGATTAGAGGATGACAGAATGGAAACTATAAAATATGGAGAACTCCCTAGATTAAAATCTGAAACCTCATAGCAGTGAGGAAAAATAAACCTAAAAGAGGCCATGTGGATCACATCCTAGTTTGCTTTTGATGTTAATCACATGCCTTTATAAAGGCTGTGCCAAATGCAGGCCAATGTTCTCACTAAGGCGCTTCTGGTTCCTGCATGGGAAGTAGTGAAGACTTGTAAAAGAAACCAATGTCATACTCAGTGCCAGAACAAAGCAAGCTGCATTTATATTTAAATAAACAAGTATGCCTATGTCAAAATAACCCAGACCTCTTGTTAGAAAGACCAATTTTATAATGGCTACATCTTTGGGATTAAAAATTTCCATTTTTTCCTATGAATTAACACTTTATTAAAAAATTTCTAAGCTGTCAAGACAAAGAAAATTTTTCTGGGGACTGAGCCACTATTTTACAACACTACTTGAGAAGCCTTGATAATAATATTAAAAGAATATATGTGTTACCACATTAAATAATCACAAAAACACCTGATTCCACTAAAAAATTTTGTTCCTGAAGAGTATAAATATTTTAGATAAAATAATTTTCTTCCTGACTTGATTTACTTTCTAACTTTATTTTCGGTTTTGATTGAGGCTTAACTGGAGGTGTTTCTTAGTTTACTTTTATACTGGCCTCCTCCTAGAGACTTTAAGTAGTTTCTAACTTACCTTACTAACTTACTGCTTGCAAATTAGTAAATGAAGATTTAAATGTAGAATGGAAATTCTTACAAATAAATCCACAGTGAATGAGTTAAAAGGAACAGGTGCTGATACAGACAAACTTTAATCTTAATTTTGGTTTGACATGTAATTTCTCTGAGGCACAGCAACTTTATCTGTAAAACTGGGTGAGTAATAGCTCAAGTACTGTGAGAGGGAAGAAAAACAACCCAACTCCACCATTTCATTTAAAGGAGCTACCCTAACACACTGCTTAGCACATGGTAGGCAATTCAACACACAACTGTTGCCTCTTCTCCACTGTAAAGAATCTTTGATACTATTAATGATCTTCCCTTAAATATGAGTTTATTCAGATTTTTATGTGTGGATTTCCTTAGAGTACTGTCCACATATCTCTGGGGACAAGTTTACTTCACATGGAGGTAGCCATTGGGACTCTCTGTCTTCTTGGGCAATTTTAACTTAGGCAATTGTCAGAATACAAATTCAGGATTTCCCCCCACATAATATAAATTGTGGTCCTAAGGAGATAATTCATATTTATGAAAGAATACGACTTTTTCAGATATGTGACTCTTAACTGAGGTTTAAACCATGCAAAAACTTTAGCTGCCCAATTAGAAATAAACATCAAATATGATTACAATTATTATGATATTAGCAGATATCGAACTCTACCTAACTGGAAGTATTTTGTAACTCATTCATGTAGTACATCACTTAGTCATTAAAACTTGATTAATATAAAGTTATAAATTAGGGCTGAGTGGCAAAGAAGATTTAAATATTAGGTTACCTGAACAGCATCAAAATACATCTTCTTAGCTTCCAGATCTGTCTTGTCAGACATTAACCAGGCCTTCAGCAAATATTCATAGAAGCTGTCTCCAAGACCTCCAACTGATACATGATCTGGAAAGAGAGGGAAATGAATTTTAGAGTGATTCAGCTTTTAATTCAGATAAAGGAGCAAAATCACATTAGCAACTAGGATGCAACCCTATGTCAACTGCAAGTCACTGTTACATTTAAATTCCAACAAATCTTTTATTTTCAGAAAGATATTCTGAAATGAGCAGATGGGCTATTAACTATTGTAACATACTCTAAATAATTACCAGAGTAGTTTTGTAAACATGGAAGATAAAAGATATGTAATCACCCCTAATTCTAAAAATCTGGTTCTCTAGTGAAAAATACCCAACTAAAATGTTCACATACATATATTTAAATACATTTTTATTTGCTTTAGTTCTGAATAATATAAAATTCTGGCAAAGCTATGAATATTAACAAATCTTTTTTAACAAGTGGTTTGTAATAAATTAAACAAGAAGCTCCTCAGGTTCATTGCCATTATTATTATTTCTAATCTCACTCTGTCACCCAGGCTGGAGTGCAGAGGCACGATGATAGCTCACTATAACCTCAAACTCCTGAGCTCAAGCGATCCTCCTGCCTCAGCCTCCCAAGTGGCTAGGACTGCAGGCATGCGTCACCACGTCAGGCTCATTTTTAAATTTTTGGTAGAGACGGCATCTCACTATGTTGCCTCAGCTGATCTACAACTCCTGGCCTCAAGCGATCCTTCCACCTGGGCCTCTCAAAGAAGAGGGATTATAAGCATGAACCACTGTGCTCAGCCTATTATTGTTTGATAAATTTTCTAGTGCTATGAATCTGAAGGGTCAAATACCTATGGGACAGGGGCAGTCAGAAAGAATATGGGGCAGAAGAAGTTTTTCCTCCTAATACTCCGTTCCTACAGTCCACCTTCACTGCCATTTATCATGCCGGACCCACTACATGTATTATCAACAATCTCACAACTGTAGGATAGGTATCCTCATTTTTTTTTTCTTTTTTTTTGAGACAGAGTCTTGCTCTGTCACCAGGCTGGAGTGCAATGGCGTGATCTCAGCTCACGGCAACCTCTGCCTCCCAGGTTCAAGCGATTGTCCTGCCTCAGCCTCCCGAGTAGTTGGGATTACAGGCACCCGCCACCACGCCTGGCTAATTTTTGTATTTTTAGTAGAGACGGGGTTTCACCATGTTGACCAGGCTGGTTTCAAACTCCTGACCTCATGATCCGCTCGCCTCAGCCTTCCAAAAGTGCTGGGATTACAGACATGAGCCACCACACCCGGCCCAGAGTTCTAATGACAGTGCTCCTTCAATCTGTTCCCCACATTAATGTCAGAATAGCCCTCTTAATATGTGAATGTGATTACCCTTTACTCGAAGCCCAATCCTGTGTGTTTGGTGCCATGCAAAATCTCAATCTTCTCTATGCCATTCAGTCTGGCTCCACTTGCTTTCTGCTCACTTGCTATACAGCCCTTCTTTTGGTTCCTCAAAAACATCAGGCTCCATCTCATCTCAGGCAGGACTTCTATAGGCCTTGTTCTCTCTGCATGAAATGGACCCTAGGACCCCCTTCCCCTTCTTTAGTAGTTCTTACTCTTACTTCATACCTGGGATCAAATGGCACTTCCTCAAAGGAGTGTTCTCTGACAATCCCACTAGGTTCCCTTGTCACACACTTTTTGATTGCACACATTTATCACCTGCAATTTCATAATGTGGTAACATTTTCTTCTGTCTCCTCCACGAGATCATGAACCAAGAGGGTAGAGACCAGACCTATTATGTTTCCCAGTCCACCCCAGCCCCTGGAAAGTGTCTTGCCCATGGTAGGTACTCAACAAATAATTGATGAACAAAGCAAAATTCTTCTATGTCAACCTTAATAAAGGGCTGTAACTATCCAAGCTAAAGAGCCATGTTTTAAAGTAGTTAAGTATGTGATTTTCTTGTTGCAGAAAGTGTAGAATTATAGTTTAAATTTTAGTGTAAAAATATATTTTAAAAATTCTAAGTCTGATTCTTGAAGTGACATTTACAGTTTCCTAAATCAACACAGAAACCTCTGACATTTACAAACTAAATAGACTAAGTACAAACTCATCAATAATAAACCCTGTTGTTATCAACATCATTGTAGGAGACAAATGCAAGTGATGCGTGGAAAAGCAAATCCCGGGCTGGCATTGTCAAAACAACACTGACTCCATGAAGTGATAGGAAACGATGGCCAGGATCCAGACATGTCCTTTGGAGTTAAAGCAATGAGAGCTGAAAACCAACGGCCAGAAGGAGCCTGATGTTTTCCTCCCCTTGGGTTATGATTTTCTAATAGATGGAAGAAGCAAGTTTGGGTATTTGGGAATTTTTTTAAAATAAGAAAAAAGTGTTACATAAGAATACATTTGTTTTAATTAATTTTGGTATTTGCTAGTTTTCTATTTTTAAAATTTCCTGCCTATAAAAATTTCAGACAAAGGAACATAAAGGAGAAACAGGTCTTCTCATTAATTTAGCATGTCACTCACTAAGCTTCCTTCAGGCCTGGATGGCTGTTTGTTAACACAGTCCTGTGTAAACATCTTAGCGGATGTGGGGGAGAGTAGGCCTGATTTTATCAGTAGGAAAGGATCAACCTACTTCTAGAAAGAACATAATATGGTGTTTTTATGTCCAACTGCTCTAAAGGTGAGGTGTACTGTAGTCAGTCAGATATTACGCTCTTCTCTGAAGGAGTAATTTATTATCTTCTTCATAAGAATAGGTCCCATAAAAGGATTTCTAATATCTAAAAAAGAGAAAAAGCAAGTAGCAAAAGAATGCAGACAAAGAAGAATTAAAATACTCAATATCTCCCTTTTAAAATTTTTGTTGACTTCATCTGAATTTCCCTCTCTGAAACAATCCCCCAATGATGCTAGTGACACTACACATAGCTAGCTAGATTAGATACAGATAGATGGATGGCTGTTACAGAAATCAAAGGATGATAAATGCTCTGTGTACAGACATGAAACCCTGCCATCTGGCCTCAATAGTAACAAGATCAGTTCATATTATCAGTGACCAGGACCGGATACTGCCTTTCAGCCACAACTGAGGAGCAGGGGCAACTGCTAAAAGAGAACAAGCAGAACAACCATTAAAAGCAGAGGCAGGCCCAGCGTGGTGTCTCATGCCTATAATCCCAGCACTTTGGGAGGCCGGGGAGGGCGGATCACCTGAGGTCAGGAGTTCGAGACCAGCCTGGCTAACATGGTGAAACCCTCATCTCTACTAAAAAAACAAAAATTAGCTGGGTGTTGTGGTACGTGCCTGTAGTCCCAGCTACTCGGGAGGCTGAGGCAGGAGAATTGCTTGAGCATGAGACAGGGAGGTTGCAATGAGCTCACATCATGCCACTGCACTCCAGCCTGGGTGACAGAGCGAGACTCCATCTCAAACAACAACAACAACAACAACAACAACAACAACAACGGAAATATACACAAGTTGTTTTATCCCCAGTCCTCTAGTGGCCCTCAAACTGTTGAGTCTCAGCACCCTTTTGTAATCTTCAAAAGAAATGGGCACCCCAAATAATTTATGTAAGTAATTTACTACATTGGAAAATTAAAATTTTCCAATTTATTACATTGGAAAATTAAAATAATTTAAAAATACTTTTCTTATTTCATTTAAAATAATAATTACATGCCCATTAACATATAAAATTTTTCAAAAAAGTTATATTTTACAAAACAAAACAAAAAATTAGTGAGAAGACTGACACAATTTCACATTTTTGCATATCTCTTTCTTGTTTGCCTTGATAGGAGACAGTTGGATACTCATGCCTGCCCTACTTTCAATCCTTTGCTATATGTTGTTTTGGCTGTAATACATCAAGAAAAGTCAGCCTCACACAGTAATACAGTCAGAAAAAGAAAGGATATTTTAACAGACTTTTCACACAATTGTGGATATTTTTCTTTGATACTATAATAGTCAACAGGTGGTTTCTTTTTTAAAGGTTAATTGCGTTGTAAAATTAGAAATTACATCAATGAATTTTTGTATTGTTACATTAAAATCCATTGGTCTATCTTGTACTTTACATAGATTGTTTTCCACGTATGATCTTATAATGTCATGCTTTGGTCATTTGGAAAATACTGGCTCACTGAATTATGCAGATCTTTCAAATATTGACATGTTCCATTATACAATGTCAGAAAACCACATTTGTTAATATCATCATCAATCTAATAGGAAAAGTATTTGTGTCAAGTTCATGGTAGCATGTACAAGTTTTCCAAAATTCTATTTTTTTGTTGTTGTTGTTTTGTTTTTTTTTTGAGACGGAGTCTGGCTCTGTCGCCCAGGCTGGAGTGCAGTGGCCAGATCTCAGCTCACTGCAAGCTCCGCCTCCCGGGTTCACGCCATTCTCCTGCCTCAGGCTCCCAAGTAG